TCATTCTTTCTACATGACCAAACCACCGAAGCATTCCTTTCTTAATCCTGGTCACAACATCATCTAGCATACCACATTTATCTCTTATCACGCAATTTCTCACCCTGTCATTCAGATTCAACCCTAGCATACTCCTTAAAGATCGCATTTCTACAGCATTTATTCTACTTTCGTGCTTCTTCTGCCACACCCAACTTTCACTACCATACATTAAAGTAGGGACTAACACAGCATTATGAATTACCATACGTGCCTTTTTTGATACATTCTGGTTCTTCACAACAGTGTAGTGCCCCATTCACTCTATTCCCTGCATTTACTCGTCTTTCTATATCCTTATCATATCTACCATCCCTGCTAAATAAACATCCCAAATACACAAACTCATCCACTTGCTCAATTAACTCTCCTTCTATTCTTATTTCACATACCGTTTTCACAGCTCACACTACAACCGCCAAGGCAACAAAACAAGGCAAAAAAAACCCACAGCAAGGCACCCTGCCAAACCAGTCCGAGTAGACCCCATTGATCCTGACACAAGCACTAGAATCCCTATAAAGAGACCTCAATGCCTGTATCAAACCAGCGCTCAACCCATATGAGTTCAGTGTTTGCCATAACACATTCCTGTCCACTCTGTCATAAGCCTTTTCCAAGTCCATGTACGCACAAAAAACTTTCTGGTTTTTAGCCAAAAACTTCTCCGCAACCATGCGCATGGAAAATACTTGATCTGTACACCCCATTCCCTCTCTAAAACCCGCTTGCACATCCCAAATTTTTCCATCAGTTTCTTTCATAACTCTTTCAATTAACACCTTAGCATACAGTTTACCCACAATACTAAGCAAGCTGATACCACGGTAGTTTTTGCAGTCCTGCTGTGACCCCTTTCCTTTATATATTGGTACTATAACTGCTTTACACCAGTCATCCGGTACCCGTTTTAATTCCCAACATAAATTAAACAAGGTGTACAGCAGGCCTGCCACCACTCCCTCTCCAGCCCTTAGCATCTCGAGTGATACTCTATCATATCCAGCTGCCTTACCTGCTAGTTATAGTTTAAATAGTTTAAATCAAAAATTAGTAATAATTTTAGTATAGTTATAATAGTTATAAGTACGTATGTATATTTAACTCTGAATGAGTATGAGAACTTATTGGTATGATAACAAATTGTTTTCTTGAGGATTCAATAGATAACAGGCAATTTGTTACGTAATACTCTTAAATAATCGTCTTTTTATTACGTATATTGTACAATAAGTCGTACAATAGAATTACGGGTAGGTGACACACTTACCTTACACCGAATTACATATTTCAATACCTCCCGATGGAAGTTGTCAACTCCATTCGATTGCCAAGTTTCAAATATTAAGTAATGTATATGTTCACAGGGAACAATTCCCTATTTGGTTAGTCTATGTTATTACTATCCACAATTCACAAGGACTTAGCCTTGACAGTGCTCTTCTCGACTCTACATTTAAAAGAGGTTAGGCTTACGTTGAACTCTCCAGAGTTAAAACCTTAGATGGAGTACATCTTATCAATTTAGATCTAAGTCAAATCAAGTCACAAAAAAGCTCTATTATAGAGTACAACCGTCTGCGCACGTTATACCGCCCCGACTTGGCCGAATTAAGTATAAACAGTAAATGCATGAAAAAAAATCCCGATACTGAATGGTTTCAAATTCATCATTTCAAAGGTACAAAACAATATAGCAAATAACCCAAAACAGACAATTATACCCCGTAAACGTAGAAAATACATTAGTTTAACAAAAACTATTTGGTATTCATTTTGTTATAAATAAGTACCTACTAATAATTTATGTACAAAAAGTAACGATATCCAATCATAAACATAAATGTGAAATGAGAGTGTGATGTGAAGTTCAATAGTATGATATATGCCTTGGTTGTTGACTTCAAAGACAAAAGAAGTGAGATCTAAATGGGTGCCAAGTTCAATGGCCAGTCCTGAAATTTATTTATAACAACATAACATATCATTTCTTCTTATAACTTAGCATAATATATTTAGCCTAAAGTCTGACTTGGCTAGTTTTCATATCATAGCCTTCGCAAGTTCTAAACCCGTTACTTATCGGTTCTTATTTTATTATTCCGAAAATTTGGCTTACTGGTGGAAACTAGCCGCCGAACATGATAATTCGTATATGAGAACTATACATATGAGACATATGGGCTACAAACGATTACATGGGTAACCTAATGGTAAGTGCATGCTGTAACCCATAGAAAGCTTTTTTTATTATACAATATGTAACAAAAATCCCATTGCTCGTTTCAGGGACGTATAGAATAGCAAGGTAAGGCAGTTATGATAATGAATTTTTTTTTGGTGTCTTTAAATGAGGTGTTAGAGTTTCTAATCAGATAACTTACTAAATTTAATATTTCTGAAAATTGTTATTTGCTTCTTACGGCCACAATGAGATGAAAGAGACAGCCACCTCAAAGCAATCTGCTGAGCGGCGCGTGATTCCCCAGTTTTTGTATAAATCGTTATACCTAACTAGAAAAAAAGAGAAATTATAATGAAATATATATATTTTAATAATGTGCTGACAGTTTATAAATATTCTATTTCCCTTCTTTAATTTCTTATAATATGTAATATGTTAATATATACATTACAATATCTTACAAATATCACTTTACGAAGTCACTAAGCTAAGTATATGACGGTTTTAACGAGATCTAGTCAACTACTGAACGTTACTGAACATACTGGCTTCCCCGCGGATAATCTCATAAGGGGGGTGGGGTCTATTTGCCATACTTCCAATTTTGGCAGACGCTTTTGCAACCGCAGTTTTTTCTGTACTTTGGATCTAGTTGTAGTTAAGAAGATAGCGCCAAACCCATGGGACGATTTGGGTTACCGGATATTATTTCAAGTATTTTTCATGTGAAACTCTATTCGATAAAGAAAACGTAACAGGAATTATTTTTAAATAAATTCATATTATTGTTTAATACAACAATGTAATAAACAAAACAAAATTACTATAGAATACGCAGCGTTTTGGGCGCCTCAAACTCAAAACCGTTTATAGAATACGCAGCGTTTTGGGCGCCTCAAACTCAAAACCGTTTATAGAATACGCAGCGTTTTGGGCGCCTCAAACTCAAAACCGTTAGCCGACGAATGACTTACGACACTCTTCGAGTGATCAAAGGTAGCGTCCACTATATGCCGACTAACCAATTTTGTTCCAATATCTATTATTTATAGTGTGCTAATATTTAGTAGTAATATTTAAAAACATGAGAAGTTTTATAAACATAAAATTTTTCACAATTCAGTTGTCAACAATAGAAATAAAAATAAGTATTGTTTATCGACGGTCGATAAAGAATGGTAATTAGTTGTGTGTGATTTTGAAAAACACAGCAGCATAACAGTTTAAGTATATGTTATTGTGTGGATATAACCCATTATTTTTTAAATTTTACTTGTTATTGCAGTGTTTTAACGTATTTTTACTAATTGGTTGCGTGAAAAAAAACGGTTACTCTCACATTTTGTTTGGTTAATTATTGTTTTCCAGTATCCTTATCCGTCCTATCCACGTATTACATTACACACGCACTGAAAGGGGCGGGACTGAAATCAAAAAAGGCGCCCGGCCTAAATGAAGGATGGAGATGAGAACATGGGAATAAAAGTGCCAGCGCTACCGCCGCTCTTTCTTCTTGCATCGTAGTTGAAGTCGAACGCTAGTCGTGATTCTCTGTGGCAGTTGGCCATAGAACAATCTAGAAGTAACCGCCTCGCATAGTGCAAGTTATATTTGCGCACCACTGCTCTCTTCCAACGCATCACAACACCAGGAGCGTCGTCCTCGAGGCCACCGGCAAAAGGAATTCCACCCGATAAATGCTCCTTAGATTGTCTTGAGCTGTTTATTTCTTTACTATATTTTCTTTTACCTAACAGCTCAAGTAGAATCCCATCTCAGGACACTGGCTAAATAATAGATTGGGTGATAGCAAGTGCATCGTCAAAGACTGCCACGTGCCACATCAGCCATCTTGTTTGGTTATAGGGAACCGCGCATACAGTCCACAGGAAAATTGATCCTGCGTAATAAGATTTTGGCTCGACCCGCGAATGGAACCCGATACCCTATTGCCGCACCATTTTCTGGTCATTAGCGCGACCATTTTCAGATTCCTTCGATCCGGATATGAAGGGCAACAAAGTCATCCTAATCATTTAGTGATCATCCGTTCCGGATTTAAACCAAGAAGCCATTGGCGTCACCATTTTCTGTTCCTTCACCTCGGATTTTAAATCGGCTTATCCATTTTCCGGTTCAGTCGAGCGGAATTGGAACTGACGTCCTCTGGCCTGATTAAGTCGAACTGCTGAACCAATTCCTTGGACAATGCACTCTAGTTTGTTAACACTGGATAGATTTAGCTTCACTTAGCATTACCGGGCATTGAGTTATAATGTACTACGTACTATAGAAGCTATTCCAAACAAAAATTTTGCGCTACTCTATGTCTTCGCGCATGCGCGGGAGTAGTAGAGTCGCGCATGCGCAGTTGGTATAAACGCGCATTGCGCCTGCGCGGTCAGTTTTCGTTATTATAGATTATACGTAAGTAGAATGGTCAGTATGTAATAATTGTTTATTTAGATTGTATTGTTAATTATATCGAGTACAATTTTTAAATTGTTTTTTTATTTTGTATATGTGCTAATTTAATATAATATTTCATATATTATGTCATTCTAAGGGTATTTTATTTAATATTTTATTAGGTAAATATGTGAAATATAAAAATAAAAGCAAATTAAACATTTGTGCAAACCATTTGCACGGTATACCGTTTCGTAAAAACCGCCATATACGCAAGTCATATAACTAGTATGACTCGCGCGCCGAGGATTCCGCCCCTATTAAGTCCCGTAAATATACTCAATATTACAAAAACATCGTTCGTCGTCTAATCACAAAATATAACAAAAATTTCAGCAATGTTATATAATAATATAATTACATTATCACATGGTACTGCAGATTTCTTTAAGTATACTCTTCCTGTTTTTGTGGTATATTTGTCGTTTTCTTTGAAATGCACGGAACATATGCATGAATAATCTGCTTTGCTGCGATTCTTCTGAACAAATTTTATCCATGATTCTCTTGTGTCATGACACGACCGACAAAACCTTTAAATCCAAATAAAAAAAATATTAATTTTAATGCATTAACATTTCCTACCGTGAAATATATATATATCAATACTTTACTGTCCATAATTATTTAACATTATACGTCGATAAAATCAAGTATGTGCATAAAAATGTTTTACTCCTTGACATTCACGTTTATATTACAGTTGTTAAAATATAATTAAATTAAGCGTATTTTAAAGATAATATATTGAACTTACTGGTGAAAAGTCACTCCTTGACTTTTAATTATGTTTCTCGAGTTGTTTAAACAATATCTCAATGCACACGAAGGCATATTATTTTAAAAACAATTCTTCACTCAAACGTCTCACGTTGCGGCAACCGCTTGACACAGACTAAGTGAGTTCGAGTGCGTGCGCTCTAACGCGTGTTACAAACATTCGAGTTGAGGCGTCTTCTCTAGTACATAGTACATTATAACTCAATGTTACCGGGACGGTAAGCCGTATTGTTGAGTTGGAAATTGCAAATAGTTACAAGGAGACGGTCCATTTCAGGCCCAGTCTATGTACACTATACCGTAAAAAAGCGAAAAATTCAGGGATTTTATTAAAAATAAAATAAGAGAATAAATCCAACTAAATGACTTGCTAAAAATAAAAATGCAATCCCAATTTTTGATGATTTTACAAGATGGCGCCCTTCCACTCATAAAATTATATGTCAAATGACATGTCTGACAAGTGACTTAAGTCTTGAAATAATGTAGGTAGTCCGATATTTTTTTTGTTTATTACGAGCTTGTTCGTGTAGTTTTGAACTCATGAATGCGTTTATTGTGTTTCTTTTGGATTACTTTGGATTACTTGACTTTGGATCTATTACTACTTGTTTGACTCGGCTTTTGTTTTATGAACTTCATGATTTAGGTGGGATTTTGATTTCTTTGATATCGTACAAGTTTCCTTAAGTTATTGAACGCATTTGAATAACATGCTCCTATGTGTAATCTGTTAACAATCAAAAAATAAATAGTTATTTTCTTTATAAGTTCATAATGGCTACATAATGTTTATATAATGTAATTATCTTTCAGATCACCTGTAAAAACATGTTGTACTATTTAAAATTTACAATAGAAGTGTGCAATAGAAGAAAATGAGCAATATTACATTGCTGGAGATTCGGGTCCAGAAATTATTACCATTCTTGAAAATCTAGATCAATTGGTAAGAACGCACCTACTTTAATCATTACAGATTACCTGGCAATATCTAGTCCAACGGATATGACAGTTTTTATATATTTCAGTATTTAAATAAAATTGTTTTGTTTTAGATGGATGAAAATGGACATGATGGCGACAGTATGAGTCCATAAGAGTAGACAAAGGTTATATGAACTTTACAATGAAAGGTTATATAATCCTAGCTTCGAATTTGGGGAATATGTAAAAAATATTCCAAAATATTTAAAAGAGTATGCTCCATAGCCAAGTCATTGTATTTGAGCAACAAAATAAAGACGGCTTCTAATAAAATTAAAATGACATGGAGTATAATTAATAGTGAAACTGGGAAGGTTAACTCTCGCAATTCGAACTATCAGTTAAGTTTTAACAATAAATTAATTGAATCAGATCAGAACGTTGCAATGGTTTTCGAGAAATATTTTACTGATATTCCTATCTTAACCACTAAGTCACTGAATTCTTCTCCTGCCGTCGCCGAATCATTACTTAAACAAGTTGTAAATGCGTGTACAAAGAATTTTACATTTCATAAAGTGTCATCAAAAGATATTCTAAAATATTGTTACGCGCTTGAGGTTCGTGACAATAAAAACTGCCGATTGAATCACCAAAATTAACACTTTGATTTACTTTACACTAATTAAACTTAAAACACTAATAATTAACCACACTGATTGACTTTATTTGCCGCTAAATTGCCGATAGAATTACCTAAATTAACACTTTAATTTTCTTTACACAAATTAAAGCTTAAAAAACCAATAATTAATCACACTGATACACTTTATTTCTCTCCGAAGCTTCGCTTGTCTCGCCAAATTCAATACTTCCCCGATCGCGTATTGCAGCGCCTTTATATAGGGCTCTTCCACGAAAACATCCAGAATATTCCAGAATATTCGAGTAAATACGCGCGCCAACCGACCAAGCGCAGAAAGATCGAGTGTAGAGCTTCTAGAAAGTTTAGTTCTTCAATTTGATACTAGATGGCGCTGTCAGTTAAAAAAATTAGTCATGTCATTTTCTGGAATTCTTTTCTTCTCTCCTCGCTCTGTTACCCGACACTAGATGGCGATAGAGCCATGAGATGAGATGTCAACTTAGCCGCGCAACAATATTTTAAGACTATTGATATTAAGAAAACCGCCGATCTGTGAGGGGATTTTTGTTAAAGTTATTGCGTCTATAATAGATGCAATCGCACCTCAACTATCTATTATTTTTAATACTAGTATCAAATCTGGTGTTTCATGATTTAATGAAGCATAGTAAAGTAATACATTTATTTAAATCTGACAGTACATTGGACCCCGCTTATTTTAGACCTATTGCTATACTGCCAACACTTAGTAAAATTTTTAAAAAAATTATTCTTGATCAAAAGTAAAAAAAAATTTAATGTAAATATTTTACCTCATAAAAATCAATTCGGTTTCACAAGGGGCGCTCGACAACTGATGCTGGTGTTGAGCTTATTAAATATATCTTTAATGCATGGGAGAATACACAGGATGCTTTGGGTATATTCTGTGACCTATCCAAGGCCTTCCATTGTGTTCACCATGAAGGAATCAGGAAACTTCAACACTACGGTGTAAGAAGTGATGCTCTTAAATTAATTATTTCATATTTAAGTGACAGAACGCAAAAAGTTGTAATTATTAGTATGAGTTCTTCCGGGTCGACTGTACAAATGGGCGTGCCTCAGGGCTCAATTCTCGGCCCTTGTTTCTGTTTTTTGTATATATTAATGACTTACCTTACATAGTTGGGGATAACCATGATATAGTATTATTTGCTGATGATACTTCATTAATTTTCAAATTAAAATGACGGTTATTAAATTACGACGAAGTAAATAATGCTATAGCTAAGGTAGTCAATTGGTTTAATGTTAATAATTTGCATTTAAATGGAACTAAAACTAAATGTATGAAATTCGTAACTCCTAATATCAAACATGTTACTTAATAATTAATACTTAATAGTTAATACGAATCTAATTTTAAGTGGGGAAGAACTGAGTCTTGTTGATAGCACCATTTTTCTTGGAATCACACTAGACGCAAAGCTTTAATGGCTCCCCCATATATCAAAACTAGCTAGCAGACTCAGTTCTGCAGCATATTCTGTAAAAAAGATTAGAACTCTTACCAGTGTTGAAACAGCAAGAATAGTTTACTTTAGTTATTTCCATAGCATTATGTCGTATCGTATTTTGCTATGGGGACACGCGACTGACACTGAAATTATATTTATTTTACAGATGAGAGCCATTAGAGCAATATATATGACGCGCCAGTAACAACACAGCACAAAATAAAATTTTTAAAGTAAAGAAGAAATAATTTAAAACCAAAAGAGTCACTGAGACAAAAATTTAAGGAAATTAATATATTAAATCTGGCCTCTCAATATATTTATGAAAATGTAATGTACGTACACAAGAATAAACGTAGTTTTGCAAAAATAAGTGATATTCATTCTGTAAATACTAGGAAAAGACACAAGCTAGTAGTACCAGTTACTCGACTGCACCGAGTAATTCATCTTGGCGACTGTATACGCTTTTACAACAAAATCCCAGAAAATATACAAAATTTGTCATACGCAAAGTTCAAAAATTTTATTAAACTAAGTTTGTATAAAAAGGGTTATTTTAATATTAAGGAATTTATGGATGATAATAACCCCTGGGAAGGGTGATCGCTACCAAGCTATTTCTAATTTATCTTGTGTTGTTAATTGTAAACATGATTGTAAGCTATTATTTGAAAAAAAAATAGTCCCGCTGGGTTTCTTGCTGGTTCTTCCCAGGACAGACGTTTTTTTTTTTGCGAACCAGTGGTAAATGAAAAAAATGACTTTCAATAAGTATTGTTGCGCATAAGTTGACATCTGGCACTAGCGCCATCTAGTGTTGGGTAACAGAGCGAAGAGAGAGCTTTCCAGAAAGTGACATCACTAATCTTACAACCGACAGCGCCATCTAGTATCGAATTGAAGAACTAAGCTTTCTGGAAGCCCCCAAACTCGAACTTTCTCCGCTAGGTCGGTTGGCGCGCGTATTTACTCTAATATTCTCGAATATTCTGGATGTTTTCGTGGAATAGCCCTATATAAAGGCGCTGCAATACGCGATCGGGGAAGTATTGAATTTGGCGAGACAAGCGAAGCTTCGGAGCGAAATAAAGTGAATCAGTGTGATTAATTATTAGTGTTTTAAGTTTTAATTGGTGTAAAGAAAATAAAAGTGTTAATTTAGGTGATTCTATCGGCAATTTTTATTGTCACGAATCTCAATCTCGTAACAATTGGTATCAGAAGTGGGATAAAATCATGCCAATTTTACCTAAAGAGGAAACGGAGGGTGTCCGAACCCGCAGTCAACGCCAGCATGAGACGGACCAGAGGAGATTTGGTCGTGCAACGCCGCAGACGTCGGAGAGCCAACTGCCAGCCACGGAGACTGCGGGCCCGCCAGTAGCTCCTACATCTGCAGCACCTGACTTAGGTGCTCTGATGGCGATGCTACAGGAGCAGCTGCAGCGCGGACGAGAGGAACAGGCCCGTCTATTGAAAGAGCAGCAGGAGGAACAGGCTCGCCGACAGGAGGAATGGGTCCATCGTTTGGAAGAGCAGCTGCGGGGTGGACAAGAAGAACAGGTCCGTCGTTTGGAAGATCAGCTGCGGGGCGGACAAGAAGAACAGACCCTTCGGTTTGAAGAGCAAATGCTCTTCATGAAGGATCTTCACGCTACCTTCGGGAAGGGGATAAAGTAGGTTAAGGAAAGGGTTGCTCAGCATGACAACCGCCTGTCGGAAGCTGAAACCCAAATCGCGAAGACTGAAACCCAAATCAAGGAAGCTAAAACCCAAATTGACCAAGTGAACAATCGGGTAGACAACGTGGTGGTTGATGTGAAGAAAACGCTGGACGATTTCAAACTGGGGAATGGAACTACACCTCCCGTGATAGCTACAACAACTTCAGTACGTGGATTCAAAGTGCCGCCGTTCGACGGGACTTCTTCCTGGGCGGCCTACAAAATCCAGTTCGAGGCTGTTATGAAGGCAAACGG